CCCCCCCCCCCCCCCCCCCCCCCCCCCCCTCCCCCCCCCCCCCCCGCCCCCAACACGCCGCGCTTCCTCCCCTCCTGCACCCCGCTCCCGGAGCCCCCCGGAAGGGGCGACTTCCCCCGCGGGCTGTCGGTGTTCCCCGTGCCCCTTCCCGCACCGGCTGAGCTCCGGAGGGGGACAAGGAGGAGAGGGGATCGACAAGAAGCAGCCACTCGATGACCAGAAGAGCGAGGGGCTGCAGGAGGAGAGGGGCCGGGGTGCTGCCCGCGGCCGCTCTGCCTCCCCCCGCTCCGAGGGCCGGGGTGTACGAACCTCCAGCATCCAAGTGGCCACCATCCTCCTCATGAAGGGCTGGATGTCCTTCTGGACGCACTTGAAGTAGGAGCATTGGGGCAGATACCTTTCCTCTATGGTTAGTAAGTTGTGCAAAACGCGGTCATCGTAGAGCAAGTTCGGGTCAGGCAGAGCTCTCCTCATGGGATCCACCTCGCAGCACAGCAGCTCCATGTTTCCAAAGAGATCTCCCTCTTTCTCTGATGGGAAAGGTTTTTTCCTTTTTTTTTTCTTTTTTTTTTCTTTTTTTGGAGGGGGGGAAGGGGGTGGGGAAAGGAGAGGGGGAAAGGAGGAGGGGTAGGTGGGTGGGAGGAAGACGGCAGGGCTTTCCAGCTCGCTCCTGCCTCCCTCGAAACTTGTCTCTCCCTCTCTTGATTTCTAGCCTAAAGTTGAAGCGAAGTGACGCAACTCGCCAGGGCAGGCAGCTCTCTCTCTCTCTCTCTCTTGTTATTATGGAGAACAGCAGCTGGTCAGACGTAACATCAAACGCGTTTTTTTTTTTTTTTTTTCCCCTCTCTATAAGCTAACAAGGAACCAGGAGGCCCTCGTATAGGGACACACAGACACAAATGACAGCTTCTCTTTTGCTTCCTTCCAGCAATCAAATTAAAACCGCTCCACAATTGCCTTCTGAGGGAGTTCGTCACGATGAATTTCCCTCTCCTTTTCTTATTGCAAGGAGCTGTGGGCTCCCCTCTGTACCCACCCTGACGATGAGGGGCGAAGTACGAAATGCCCTGGTAGAGCAGGGTGCCAGATCCATGTCTCACTTTCCCTGCTCCGGCACCCCATTAAACCTGCAGCAGGAGGGGGACACAGCTCCCCGCTAACAGCGAACCCAAAAAAAACCCCTTGAGGGGTGGGGGGTTTCGCGGCGTCTTCGAGGTGGAATCTTTACAACCACCATGCTACTTCCTCCGGCATACATTCGTGTTTCGAGCAGGCGAACCGTCTTAGCGTTGCATGGCCACGCTGATACAACTTTCTAGGAAACGCGGCGGAGGAGGGAGGGAGGGAGGGAGGGAGGAGGGAGGAAAGAGAAAGGTTGGCTTGGGGAGGAGGGGGGAGGTGAGAGGAGTTATGTCCCACACAGGGTGACTTCTACCCTGCTCGCACTTCTCCGGCACTCGCTCCCAGCCTGCAAAATGTGACAACTTTGCGAACTCTCTGCCGGCTGCGGCAGAGCGGAGGCTCCCGAAGGGGAAGGCGCAGCCGGGGCGGGCGCCGAGCGGCCGCAGCCCCGCGGGGCGCGGGGTCCCTGCAGCGGCCGCCCCTCAGCCCCCCGGCCGCGGCCGGCGCGGAGGGTGGGCCGGGGGCGGCGGGCACGGAAATACCGCCTTAAAACTGCGAGCGGGGACTTTGGGGCGCCGCTTCCCCTCCCGCTATTTGCATAGCCAATAGCTCTGGGGCTCTCGCCGCTGCGCGCTGATTGTTACCGGGCAGATTATATTTTTAAGGGCGCATGATGCCTGGGCATCGAGAGCAACCTCTGAGGGATGGGGCGAGAGGGAGCTCCCTGACCTGAGCGCACCGCCGGTCCCGGCAGCCGCACGGGCTCTGCCCGCACCGGGGCAAAGCGGGCGAGCGGCCGTCGTTGCCCGCGAGTGGGCACAGGAGCCCCCTCCCACTCCAGCGCTCGCCCTTCTGCATCTTAGCGGATGGGAGGGGTGGGAACAGCTTTGCCGACTCTCAAGGCTGCCCCGACGAAAGCTGGTTGGGACACGGCCCCGCAGCGAACCCGCCCGTCGAAGCAAAGGGCTACTTGGGCAGCAAAAAGGCAGCGGGAGTGTGGCCCCTTCCCCCCCGCCCCCATCGCTCTGTAGCGGGGGACAGCCGAGAGCAGCATCTCCCCACAAACTCATTCCCGCGCACGCCTCGTCCCATCCGCGGAGCGGGCAGCCCCCGGGCGCAGCCCAGAAGTGCCGGGCATCGTGTGTGGCCCCGGCAGCCGAGCCGCGGGTTACCGAGACCCGGGCAGAGCTGTTCCCGGCAAGGCTCTAGTCCGAGGGGCGAGGAGGGGGCACCCCCCGGCGCACGGCGAGGGCGGCGAGCGGGACCCGCTGCGGCGCGCTCCGCAATGAAAGGCTCTTTAACTTCCACCATTCATTTCCCCTTCCTGGCTGCTCCCGCGAACAGGGAGCGTGTTGTGTCAGCGCACGTTTTCCTTCTCCAAACTTAAATTCATAAGCGCTCCCGTCTGGCTTTGTAGCCCGACAATGCAGCGACTGTGATTTATGTGAGTTTCAGGGGGGAGGACGACGGGTGTCCCGATTGTCCGGCAGCGACTTTCCGAAGTGGGGTGATGTCTGGAGCACGGCGGGGAAGCGATGGGGTGCCCCCCGCGCCCCGCGATGGGGCGGCAGCCGGGAGAGGGCTGCCGAGGGCACCGCGGGCGGGCCACGCTGCTGAGAGTGTGGTGGGGATGTCCCGTTAAGGGAAAAAAAAAAAACCACCTCCCTAAATCAATAATAAATGGAAGCGTGCCAGCTCTGCACGCGGAGGTGCTGCTGATCTGCAGCAACGTCGTGGAAAAAGAAAAACAAACAAAAAACCCACAAAAACCAGAAAAAAACCCAACAAAATAACCAAAACAACCAAAACATTTTCTCCCGGTACGACGGCTTTTATATGCTCGGTGCCCGTTTCCAGCGGGGAAACACCGTCCCTGGGAAGCGCGGCCGGCGGGCAGGGGGCCAGGGACCCCCGGCCGCGGAAGCCAGCGTGCCCGAGCTGCCCCTTCGCCTTGACCCGTGCCCACGGGCGCTGCCGCATGCGTTTGGAGGCAGCAGATGTTTTAACAGCCTCCGTGTAGAGATTACCGAGTGCCATATGTTAAATAGCACCCTTCTCCGGAAAAAAAAAAAAAAAAGGAAAAAACAAAACAAAAACAAAAACAAAACCACCAAAAACCCCAACCCACCCCCCCCCACACACACACAAAAAAGGGCAAAAAAGCTTAACAAAAAATAATACAACAGTACAAAAGCAAAACCCACCCTTTTCGCACTCGCTCCCCTTCTTTTGCTGAGCTGCCTCACCCATTTAAAAGCATTAATGATTAAATCAAACATCGCGGGGATGTGCGCGCAGCCCAGGGCGGGCGCTCCCGCGGAGCTGTCGCCGCGGCCACGGGGAAACCGCGCTCCCGGGACAGCCGCTCCTCCTTCCCAGCCCTGCAGCCCCGAGGGAAGGGGGCTGTGCTGCTCCCAACCCCACCGCAGCCGCCGGGTGGCAACACCGCCGGCATTATTTAGGTCTTGGGACACTTCTGCAGGGCACCAAGTCCGGTGTCACGGTTACTCATCACGAACCCGACGCGCGGTTATCGTGTAGTCGATAATATGCAATGATATTTTATCGGGCTCTGTTGTAGAGCGCTGCAAAGCTCTTGGGTTTTTTTAAATAAATCCTAAATTAGTCATCACTCCTATTTATTTAATTTCTTTTCCCAGCGAATCTCAGAGAACCATCAGGAAGATGCTTCAGGGGACTGGATGGTCTCAAGCTTTGCAGAGCAATAGGCACGGAGTGCGCCCGCCGGCCGCGGGGTTTTTGTTTGTTTAAATGGAATAAGTATTCCTTTGCAGTGCTTGAAACCTGAAGGCTGGAGTGTGAAACATGAGAATCTGAAAGTGAAACCGACTGGAAGCCAAAAAAGAAACAGATGAACGTGTTTCCAATGTCCAAGCTGCGGAAAGCCCCGAAAGCAAGCAAACACCATGCATAATAAAATGTGCAATAGATTTGAAATAAAAGTATTCCAATTTCAGTCACTGGAAGCAGTCTTTTAGTGGTTTGGGTGGTTTTGGGTTTTTGGGTTTTTTTTAATATATCTGATTTTTAGCCGTTCAAAGGTAAATTACATAATTCCATGCTGTGCATTCAACAGGAAAAACATGATAAAATTTTTTTTTTCCTCTGCTTCTTAATAAAAGACTGGGCAAGGATGTGAATAGCACAGGATCTTCTGTGTATCATCCATATATTTTCAAGGAGTATTTTAATTATACAGGTAGTTTTCAACTCTAAATAACTATTTGGTGACAGCTTTATGATTAACAGCCATATCAGACAACATAAACAATGAGCAGGTGAAACATACCCCGTAATAAAACTATTCTCACCTTTAGAGGGTGATTTTATGCAGGCTCAATAATTAACAGCATTAACTAATGGATTCTGTGTGATTGGTTAATACTTGTTTAATTAATTGCTCCTTTCTGTTTTGTGCGAAGTTTCTTCTTTAACCTTTCTCATCCCCTTTCTCTTTCTCATGGTTTCTCGTAGTATAAACTTATTCAGAGCAGTAATTAGAAAACTGTTTGTGCAAATAGCGCATTACTCCAATCAGATTTCTTTATTAGGTGAGATGGGAAAGGAGTCAAAAAAAAGGTACAAGGATGGTCATGTACCTGGGATTGATGTTTTATGCTGGAAGACTCGATAAATTAATCACATTTAGCCCAAAGAATTTCCAGGCTGACATTACTGCCTTATCTGGCAGGGGTGCCGCGTCCTCTCCAGCCGCCGCGCTCCTCTCCTGGGGGGGCAGGGTGATAAGGCTGCGTTCGTTTACTCGGACAAGGAACAGGGAACAGGTGCCTCCCACGCGCCAGGAAGTCAATGGAAAGTGACATTTTTTTTTTTTTACCCTGGCATGCAGAACAGTACAGAAACGCCGTCATTCTTTTCCTGGGTTTAAGTGTTTTATTTTTCTTTTTTTGCTTTTGGACCAGATTTCTGAAAGAGCAAGCACAGTTCTGATAAATTTCAGGTATGAACCACTGATACCTATTTCATCATTAATAATATGATAGAATCTGAAGATGACAATCCCCCTCCCCCCCTTTTTTTTCCTTTTCTCCTCACTGCCTATGAATCAGCTTCCTTTTCTGCTTAAAATGGCTTTGCTGTTAACCTCTTGCATTCCTTACCTGCTGGCATGTTTGTATCAGTCCTTAGTTCAAGAACGGTTTCAACATTAAACGCACAATGTTTTTTTTTTCTTTTCAGACTGTTGAGAGATATCAATAAAAGACTTTCTGTCCCCAAACCTTCAGCTGATCTCCAATTTTTATAGCACCTTACTGTGACATAGCTTCCTTCTTCCTTCAAAAGAAATGCTCAGACTTTTCTCTGT